CTAAACTACACATGTTATTTTTTAATTTATATGCCCAAACATATTATTTCGTTAATTAACCCTAATAATTTCGGTATAATATCTTTTTTATATTAATAGAGAACACACTAGGTGAAAATATTAGATGTCATCCTAAGAGGGTTTTAACGAATTTATTTCCTAATTAAAATTTTTAAAAATTCTTAATAACAAATATATAGAAATAACGAATATGTGGTAATTAATATAGAGAAAATTTATTTAAAGAATATAAAAAATATATATATATTTTAATAATACTAGATTTTTATCCGAGTCAAAAGCGGTATTAAAATATTCAAAAACAAAAATTCATGATTATTTTTAATAGATTGGAGAAATAAAAAATAACAAAGATAAAATATATTTATGTTTCATCAAAATTTAGCTTTATTATATTTATGCACAATACATATAATTTTTGTGTGTTTATAAATGTTAGAATATACGTCCAAATATTAAATTCGGTTAAAACATATTTAAGTATTTAATCCAAATCTAGTATATTTTAATATATAGATAATTTCCTTTAAATATATTTGGAAAATTTAATAATACATATATCGTGTGTATAAAGATTAGTATTAGATAATCACGATACTTTGCAAGCGTAAATATTATGTACATTTTTAGAGAAGATAGATAATATGGAAGATTACAATAATTTCGATCTTTATTTTTTATTTCTCAAAACAAAAAAAAAAGATTACAATAAAAAATCTAGAAATTATCTAACTATGGAAAATATAGAAGCTATTTAATATGAGAATATTCTAAAAATGAAATAATATTAAAAAAACTAAATATTGAGATCCATACGTGTTATGCATATGATAATAAAGCCCATCATAGAGCAGCGATTGCACGAATCAATTAAACGATTGCATATAGTTTTTTTTCCTCTGAAATCAGCAAAACGACAGCGTTTTTATTTTTTTTGCTTCCCAAAATCTTTCTCAATGTCACCTCAGCAAAGTGAATTCATGTTTATAAATATAGATCGGATGCATTTCACAAATCATGGATAGTGAAAACTTGAGATAAATACATTTGTTAGGTATTATAAATATGATGAGTCCCTGACTCCAAAGTCGAGACAATGTGAACATTTCCGAGGATTATTTTAAACATTTCATCCCTCTAATGCTCCAAATCACATCCCACCAAGTGTTGCAAGATTATGAATAACGGATCAAGTAGATAAAGAGTAACGTCATTCCTAAAAAAAACATGGTCTCTGTCGATACAAACTTGCATCATATAAAAGAAAAACTGAATAACTAAAAAGAAAACCTGAAAAATTAAAAAGAAGAATGTATAATGAAAAGAAAAAAAAAAAAGCTTAGAAACATACATAATCAAGAAGAAAGATGAGGGAGCGGGTTTAGCCAGCGTGGAAGCACGTACTGTGAAAAGTAGAGATTGTGATCACCACCCAATAATTCTTTGGCGAAGAAACATGGATAGACCGAGTCCATATACTCCTTGCAACCGCTAATACTCATGGTGCAACCATCCATAAACTTGTTCTCCGATGATGACTCCTTGTGAAGAGTAAACTTGTGTGTCCTCAAGTTTAACAAGACCAAACCGTTCTTGTTCCTACTCCACAAGTATATGATGTCGGAGTTAAAAGGATGCATCACCACGGGGAAAAAATCAGCACCCAAACCGATCAAGGACGAGTTAGTGTCGAGTCTCCACGAGAGTTGCCACGAATTAGGATGACGATTCCTAGAGACCAGCCTCCAAATCATGATTATCCGACCCCCATTATAAGAGAAAACATTGCAATACACCACAAATCCAGCAGACGTTGTGATTGTTCTCCTGAAACACCGAGTCCCTTCATGTGTCTTGTAATCAGGAAAAGGTATCAAACGACACCCATCAGTTCCTCCGACGTTATTATAGAAATCATAGGATACGACATAATCTGGGTCCATAGAGTTACGACTCGCGGAAATCCAGTGAAGAATTCCGTTGTGGGGAACCGAATACTCTAGGTTACACCAAAACATTGCATAGACACAACGCACATTTTCGGTTTTCCAAGCTCCTGTTTCTGACGAATATATCATAAAAGTTAGGTCAGAAGATAGCACACGTGGGACCAGTGTCCAGACAACCTTGTAACCCACGACAATACCCTTTTCCATCTTTGTGACCAATCCAGTGTCGAAGAAATGTTTATTTTCTTGTAACCTTACTACATCAAAAGCAGAGAGATGTGGAGGAAGAGGGATTCGAAACCATTGTTGCAACAACGGATTTACGACATGATACATTAGCGATCCTTCGATGGTTTCGGTGTAAAGCAATACAATTCCATCGGTGCAGGTCAAGACTGATGTTTTTCTCACTTGTGTCTCGAATTTGTGACGCATGAAAGAGCCTAAGGAATCGGTCAGTCCCCATCTCTCACATCCATGGTGTCCCACGATTTCTAGCGCAAATGTTTTGTTCTTTGTATTCATGATTGACCACGACACGGAGGAGGTTGAGGAGTTGAGTGATTCGTAGAAGTCTCGGAAGAAGTCGGAATCGATTAAACATTTCCACTCTTTGCACACTGATCTGAATCTCGCAATGCTTTTCAATGATAATCGAGCCAAGATGATTACCAATGCTTCCTCTCCAGTTTTTCTATTTTGGCTGACAACGATTTGTTTTTGTTTTTTCTCCATTGGAGATTTAGGTTTGGGGTTTTTTCGTTCTTTCGGCAGTCTTGATAAGTTAATATATAGTAAGTTAGGTTTTGTTATTCTTACATTGGGCATCATATGTCAATTTCAATTATTATTATTAACTTATATATCGTGATTTAGATTAAGGTAAATCTTCCAAATGTTCCATTATTATTTACCACTATCTTATTGTATATATATTATTGTGAATTTTCCGTTTAATATCTAATTACGTATATGTCAATATTATATATTTACTTAATTTCAATCCCAAAACCCTAGATATATCCTTATACATATATATATGTCTCTGGATATTCCATACTGAGCGATTCCTTTCCACTGTCCTCCTTCTCGTTCCTTGGTATCCGATGAATATGTAGGTCCGTTCACATGTCCTATATCTATTACTATATGTTGGTGTTATATTTTGCACCCCAAATACAGCCTTAGAGAGGCCCATTAGTAATAAGACCAGCCGACTGGCGAGTTTCGATATATAGGCCCGAATGAACAGTTAGAAGAATATACCGCTAGTTGTGAATAGGGATGGAGCATGTGGAATGTAGTGACTGACTCATATTAAGCCTAATATATCTAGCAAAAGGCCCAGTCGATGAACCCTGCGATTGGGCTGAATGAAACAGTTAGCATAATTACTTGCGAGCTGAATCGTGAAGAGGAGCTCGCAGATAACATGTTGAATCAGTCAAGCTCGACATCTCGGAGCACGTACTAAAAATTTAGGATCGCGAGGAGAACATACTGCGTGAATATAGGAGTGATTGAGCCT